GCACGCACCCCGGAACAGTTTAGGCATGCGCCAGCACCCCGCGTATTACGATGTTATTGGCGGGCGCACTCAGCAAAAAAATGTACATATCGCAATCAGCTTTGTTTTCGGGGTTTTATTTTGCTCCCTTTTCCTCTACAACTCAACGACGTTCGACAAAGACGATTCTGTATAGGTTGGCGTTGCTGACGATATATCGACGTAGTATTTTCCCCTCAAAACGATTACGATCCAAAGGAACAACATTTACAGTTAGTCGATATTTGGGGTACCCTGTCAATCTGACGGCGCGCCGTCGCAACGCCTATTGGATGGCAACAGAAAATTCACCCCGTGGAGCGTACGTTCATACCAAAATATAGGACGAGCAGGAGGAAATACGGCGGGGGAAACGAAGCGCATTGCCGTATTTGACAGCTGTCGGGATGACCTGCCCGTCAACCCCATCCATCACGCAGTCCATGCGTCGCAACGATACGGGGAAGGAGGAGGAAACTCGATCATAGACATGTGAGGGGCGAAACCAGAAGTAGTAGTGGAGCTGCCCGCGCGCTTCCTCATTCAAATGAGGACACATACCGGTGTCGCCGCGCGCCCTCCCGCCGGCAGCTCCATCGAGTGTTATGACTCTATTAAGAAGGCGGTGGTGGCCAGGGCCGGTCCGGCCGGTGCAGGAAGGCGGCGGCCCGTTCGTTAATGTTACCCCACCCCGGCCCGGCCCCGCCCCGCCGCCGGCCACTTGCGCGGCCCAGCCCGTGGATCAGAATAACTTTGCATGTCATTTTGGCGCGCGCCGCACGGCGGCGGCGGATTCTCTTTTTTGAGGTTCCGCTTTTTCGGCGGGGGCCGCCGCCGCGAGCGCGCGCACGCGTTCCCAACCACGCGCCGCCGTGCAGCCCTTGCAAGGAAGGGGCGCAGCAGCAGCGAAAACGAGTCCGGGATAGAGGAGAAAGGTGAGGACTAGTGGGGTGGAGACACATGTGAGAGAAAGAAAGTCATGGTTTTGAAAAACTCAAAGGGTGCTTCGGCGACACGGAGGAGATAAAGAGGGGTATAAGATGGTGTTCCACCGAGAGAGAGAGAGAGAGAGAGAGAGAGAGAGAGAGAGAGAGAGAGAGAGAGAGAGAGAGAGAGAGAGAGGGAGAGAGAGAGAGGGAGAGCGGGGGGGGGGGGCTGTGGTCAGAGGAGCGGAGTCCCTTAACGAGAGGGCGGCCCGGCAGTCGCCGAGCCCAGCCCAGCCCAGCCCGTGCTGCTGAGAGTTGCTTGTAGTGAGCTGCGGCCGGGGAGAGAAGCCGGCGAGACTCAGATCATTTGCCAGCTCATTAATTTGCAAAGTGCTTGACAAACACTGCGCGAAAAGAGAGAATAAAGCGACGCCGCCGCCGACGCCGCCGACACCGGCCGGGAGACAGAGAGAGACAGAGAAAGAGAGTAAAGAGAAAAGTGCGAGCGAGAGGCGTCGCGGGCTGGCAACGAAAGTGCGAGCGAGAGAGAGAGGGAGAAGAGGGGGTGAGAGAGGAGAGAGGGAGCGGAGAGCGAGATGGGAGGCGTCTGCCTCAGCAGCAAAGAAGTGGCCGTGGAAGTTGAAATGCCGCTGCTGCAGTAGGAATGGTGGCCTTGCCCTTGGAGCCCCTGGGTTCCGCCCGGGCACACCTTTCTTCTCTCTCTCTCTCTCTCTCTCTCTCTCTCTCTCTCTCTCTCTCTCTCTCTCTCTCTCGATATTGTCTGAGATGTCGGTATGCCCTCGCCAACACTGGTCCTCACGTTGGGCTGGACGCGCATGCACGCTGCTAGGCACAGCGTCGCCGCCTCCTTGGAGTCGGTATCCTTGGCAGTGTATGCTCCTGCTGCTGGGGTGCGGCGGCCCTGCCTGGCCCGGCTCCGGGGAGGTGGGTGGAGGGGTAGGAGGTGTGGGGGAGGAGAAGGCAAGAGGCAGGGCGGCCCGGGCGGGCAGGGCTGAATCGATAAAGTGGACTGGCTGTCCCTCCTGGGCCTGGCCTGGCCGCCCGCCTGGCCCGGCCCTGCCCGCCTTGGCCTCCCTGCCTGCGGCGTGGCACGGCCTGGCGCGGCGGACCCTGCGCCAGGCGAGGGCTGCGGGAGTGGGGTCGACGGGGGCGGCTGCTGGCTACACTGCCAGGGAACACCAGCAGCCCGCGCTCTTGGTGGTAAAGTTTATCTTCCAGTGTTCTCAGCCCATCAGCAATTTACAAAGACAAAAAATATCGCAGATTTGCCAGAAGTTTAACTTTTGGTTACGAAAAAGGTACAACTGTAGTTTTAAGTAAGTATTAGCCTTTGTACACATAACTAGGGGAGTGTGCACGTGGAGGGGACTTTAATGATGAGGAACTTTAACGAGTTAGAGAAATTCAAAAGGACCCCTGCTCCTACATCTCGCCTCGTTCGCATACAACTACAAAGTCCTTGCACAATTCTTTCCCAAAGCCGCGCACCTGTGCTTTACTTTTTCACAATTCTTAATGTTTTGTTCATGTTTTCATTTAATGAATTTTAACCATTGGCAGTGTACCCGCGCATTTCCCGCCTGGTCCCTCCAAGTCGCCTACGCCCAGCACTACACCTCCCTAAGGGCAAGAGGATGGCGACCAATCGATACGCCATCGGGGTGGACGCCGCGAGCAGGGCGGGGTGGGGCGGGGTGGGCGGGGGCGGTGTGGGGCCGGTCGGCGAGGCGTGCTGTTGTCACCCCGAGGGGATTATACTTCATGACCAAAATGGCTGCCCGGCGCTAATGGGCAAGAAAGCGTGGCGGAAGGACCATAGAGGGCGACCAAAAGTCTCTAGATGCGAGTACGCGGCGTCTTCAGCGAGTTCAAAAACCGCGTTCGAATTCAAAAGAGTTTCCCGCCTCCTCGCTCCACAAGCAACCCCCTCACGTGCACTCTAAATTTCACTTCCCGCACGCGCCGCTATGATTCATTCATGGCGTAACGCCCCGCGAACTGTTTCGCAACCGCCGCGCGCCGAATTTAGCGCGCGCGCGCGCGAGTGTTGCCCGCGAGGGCTAGTGGTGAGGCCACGCGGGAGCCTTCCCGTCTCCCCGAATAACCACGACACCGCTGGTGTCGAGTTACGTGAATCGCCGGTCAGTCCTTCTATCATTTCCCTGCTTTCGGGCGGGATGGCTGTACGCCTGGGCGGTAGGCAGGCCCGTGGCGCGAGCGAGTCCGACGGGTCTGCCTACCCATCGCACCACAGGCGCGCGGGGGCCCCATCATGCCCATAACACCAGCAAGAAAACGACTGACCTGAGCTCTACGAGTTACAAATCCGGTTTGATCTATTTTAACAATAACCATAATACATACAACTAAACATAATTAAGAAACTGAGGCTGACGCCACTGAAATATGATTCTCCTGGTTAGGCCTGTTCGCCTGGGCGGTAGGCAGGCCCGTGAAGCGCGCGTGTGCGGCGGGTTTGCCTACCCACCGTGTCCCAGGCGCGAGGCCCCAGCGCACACATAGTGGATTCGCGAAAAAAAAATAGTTTTTTGGTTGCTCACTGTTTAGTTTCCAAACCAGAACCAGTACTAAGTGAGAAATTGAATATATCTAAATAGCACAGCCCACAAAGTTCATTATTTCACGATCATAATTTATTACAAATAGTTCGTAATTGAAAATAAAGCAAATTTATTCGTCAATTTTAGGAGTCAATTAAGAGAATGCCGTGTGTCCACTCTAAGTGCAACGGAACAGTTCTGTTCCTTAGAAGGGGAAATTTTTGCGCACTTTACTATTCTTTTACAGTTAAGAATGAATGTGTTTTACAAAGCGTTTAAACCCTCTGCAGTTGCAAAGCATTTTCTTTGTAATTACGAAGCATATTGCTTTGCAGAGTTTTAACTGGTGTTGTATGTTTCAATAAACAAGGAACACTGTTCTACTTCTGATGGCAGTGTACCAACTCCCCACCACTACTACTACTACTGACAGGAGGGCCAGAGGGGCTGCTTGCCCCAGCCATTTGCACTGCTTCCATCAAAGCGCCACGCTACGCTACGCCACGATCCGGTAAAGTTTCTCTCTGCTCCGAAAGCCCCCTAGTGGCAAGGGAACACTGGCCATTACGTACTTACACGGCGCGGCCTGGCGTGGCGTGGTGGATTACCGCGCCCTGAGCCGTGCATACTGATCCGACTCTTGCGCCCCAATCGATCAAACGTAAGTGGAGAATGATGGAACACTCGGCGTAGCGATTCATCAAGGTCGGAGATAGGCGCCGCACGCGCGGGTCACTCTCTATCTCCGCAAAAACAAAAGAAAATTGGGCGGATTTAGAAGAGCGAAAACCACTTCGTATTAAAACAATATTTGAATCCGTGCGGGTTTGCCTTGTAGAGCAAGGCAAAGCGCGTGGGGGTGGACCTGCTACCCGCGGGGCGGGGTGGCGCCGGGGGGCGTTCGTTTTCAAAAGAGGGAATATCATTCTAACGAGATCGTATAGCTCTCAACTCGAAATGCATTTTTCAGTGAGGAGGTGAGGAGCGAATTCGATTTATCTGGACGTAAACTTCGCCTCCCCCCGTGAAACGGGCGGCGGCGAGGAGGGGTGGAAGAAAAGGATCTGCAGGCGCGCAAGGCAGGCAAGGCAGCAGGGGACTCCGCAGACGCCCAAGGGTCCGACAGGGGCGGGGAGGGAAGGGGGAAAGAAAAAGAGAGGGTGGCTGAGTGGTATAGTATAGGGGATGGAGTCGGGTGGGGTGGGTTTGGAGGGTGTGTGGGAGGAGGGCCGCGCCCCAACGACGACATTTGGACGACTCCCGGTCGGCGTCGGCCATCACTCCCAAACTCCCCCACGGAGCGGCGGCGCGGCGCAGGGGCTCCACTCGGCGCTACCAATGGTCCGTTAATGTGGAGAGAGAGAGAGAGAGAGAGAGAGAGAGAGAGAGAGAGAGAGAGATGGAGAGGTATATACAAGAGTGAATTTGGCAAAGAGGAAGGAATATCGTCAGGTAATATAGGATAGTATAGGAATAATATTTTGGTTCAGTTTATTCTTTCTCCTTTGCGCGAACGAATGATGGTACGGTCGAATAATTGCGACTGGTCGTATACTGACAACGAACAGGTTCATACGCAGGCATGTGGATGACGGAGGAGTCCTCATGGACGGTATATGGATGGTATGGATGGAGGTATATCGGGTCCGCAGCGCGTCCTGAAACACAGAAATTTCGCTCTTGAGAAAAGTTGTCGAATACACCACGCTTACAGAAAACATGCCGAAACTGCTGCTGCAGCTGCCGCGAGAGAGAGACACACAGGACAGAGGGAAATAAAAAAAAAATAAACACGTCGTACTCTAAAACTGTAATTTCCCGCTGGCAGCGCGCGCGGCAGAACGCAACGGGCAACGTTCGCGACTCATTTGCATAGGAGGGGCTGCGCTCAGGTATCCGCGGTGGCACGGCACGCCACGCCACGCGGTAAGGTGAGGTGCCCGCGGCCTCGGAAGCGCTTTCACAACCCCATCCCACCGCGCGCACCGAACGCGCGGGACAGCGCAGACAAGCTCAGCATCAAGGCGACCCCCCTCCCCTCCCCCTAACCCTCCGCGCGGCCCGCGGGCCCGAAAGGTAAGAGACGACGGCGTCGTGACCCTTCCACCCCTTTGGTGCGTTCTGCATACGGCGCAGCCAGAGAGAAAGAGAGAGAGAGAAGGAGGAAAAAGGGTTACGTTCTTTCTTTATTCCCTTTTTCTCTTTTGTTCTTTCCGAGCTGGTCTGCATATGTGCCAGGCTAGAGGCAGAATCAATAACCTTCGACGACGACGAGGGTCGCCCTCGTACAGCCACGCCAGCTTCTCTCTCTCTCTCTCTCTCTCTCTCTCTCTCTCTCTCTGTGACTCTCTTTCTCTCTCGCACTCCGGAAGCTCTCCCGCGGGGTGTTCCCTGTGTGTGAGGCGCTGCCAGCCTGCAATGCCTCTCCGAGCCGCATAACGGATTTCCCTCTAAATAATTCGGCAGCCGTCCCCGAGAGGCCCCGCCAGGCCGTGAGGCACAACGACGAAGCCTTTTCCTCCGTTGCTTCTTCTTCGTTTTTTTGCCACCGCCACAGCCGACCGCGCGTCGCAGGCAGGAGGCGCGTTCTCTCGGCCCAGCCTATTTTTCAAGGTTTGTCGTCACGGACAACCCCGCGGCTGCCGCTGTCCACCAGAGTCCGCACCCTCCCTGCCGCGCTCCCTCCACGCTGACCGCGGCTCGACCCGCCCCGCCTCCCTTATTAGAAGGGGTCAGCAGTGGCCCGGAAACTGCTGCTGACCACTCGCCTGATTGGCGCAGCGACCCCGCCCCGCCACGCCCCGCCACGCCCCGCCACGCCCCGCCACGCCCCGCCACGCCGCGTCGAGCCGCGCGCCAGCCCGGAACCAAACGGTGCACGTCGCGCACGCCCCGCCATCACTTAGAAGCGGCGCAGGGGGAAAGGCAGAAAAGCCTGCTCCCCGCACGGGCAAAGCGATTCAGAGCCCGAGGGAAAAGGTCTTCTCAAGAGGAAACGAAATGGGGGCTTTGAACTTCGCAGTGCATTGACCTACGCTGCGCACCCTCGTTGAAATAAACCACGATGAAGTGCAACAACTGAACAACTTGAAATCTTGAATGACCTGTACGTGAAGTTCAGTAATGAACATCGGTTGAAGTTCTGAAAAACAGCACTGTTTTCGTGGAGGAACCGGATTACCGCGTCGAATGGCGTAGATATTTCTATGGGGTTCGGACATGAATTGTCCTCGATTGACGTTATGAGGCTCAAGCGGTTCGCCTTCCCGTTCCTTTTCCAGACGCGGCGGGCACAGTAAGGCCGCGGCCCTTATCTCGATCCCAGAAGGATCACCGGAGGGTCCCTCATGTGATTTGCGGCACAAACATTCCAATTCCAGGGTGCTAAATCCCGGCAATCATCACATCCGTGTGCCGTGCGGGCGCGCACAGTGGGATGAAATATTTCATTCTCCTCCCCACCCTCCTCTACTCTCTACACTGCGACACGAAATTGGCGGAAAAAGAAAAACACACATCAGCATACAGCCACAAAAGACCTTTTCGCAGTCTGCATCTTGCCAGGAATTAAAAGGGATGTGCGAGCGTGTGTGCCAAGGTTAAGTTCGCGCTCGTGTTCATTCAGCGAGGGGGAGAAAACACAAAAAATGGAAATAGAAAAGGAAGAGACAGGGCAGTAGCATTTCCATACGGCCTAGAGCTGCGGCGCAGGCAGGGGTCTCAATGGCTATGCTGCCCCAGGGCTCCCAGCCAGCAGAGAGCGAGCAAGGTGGGAGCGAGCCAGGAGGGAGCGAGCGAGCGAGAATAAGAGGCCAGAGAAAGAGGCGGAGTAAGAGAGGCCGAAGGGGAAGGGAACGCAGAGGGGAATGGGAGACCGCTCACCTTTCAGGTGCTAACACTAAAGGTCCTCTCGCCGGGCAATAAAAGAGCCATTTCACTGTGCAGCATTTTGGACCTTCTCCCGAAGACGTGGACAGGCCCGAGACTAATGTCCCTAAAAAAGTGTTTCGCCCGCCCCGTCCACCAGCACCGCGGTGAGGGTCGCAGCGCAAGGGAAAGGGGAAGAAGGAGAAGGGAGGGGGTGGCGGGAGGAAGTCATCTGACGTGGAGCCCCAGCACGGCTCCAGGCGATTGAAAAAGATAAGCGAGCAAGCTTCCAAAGAATGATGATCGGGAGCTGCTGCAACGTGTGTGTGTGTGTGTGTGTGCACGAGAGAGAAAGACACATAGAAAGAGAGAACAAGAGAAGCCCGAGGGGGCGTTGCAGAGCGGAAGAGAGAGAGGAGAGACTTTTGGGGCGCTGGGCCTCTGGGTTTAAAGAAATAGGGGAGTTGGGAGGGTGGGACGCCGCTGCCGCCGCCGTTCGTTGCGATCAAGGCATCGAACACTTTTCTTTTCGCCACGATATAAATTTTGCATCAAGCCCACACCCCGTGGCGCTGCCTGCCTCCCCCTTCTCCTCCCTCACTCCCCCCATCTCTGTGTCTCATCCCCTGCATGCCCATCACTTCCACACAATCCCCATTCCTAGGCTCCACCGTGCGCTGGCTCATCGGTCTCAATTTGAATAATTTCGACCAGCACTCCGCAGCAGCAGCAACAACAACAAACCCGCAACTCCTCGCGCGAAATTTGATCCCGCAGTTTCCTTGCCCCCTCCCCCCCCCC